GCGCCGGCACCGCTCTGTTGGGGAAGGTCGGGGAGTGGGCGCCTCGCCTCGCGCCGCCATACTGGGCACCACCACCGTCCTCGCCCCACTCCATGAGACCGCCGGCATACTGGCCACCACCACGGGGCACCACGCCGCGGCACGGCAGCCGACGGCAGCCCATTCAACGAGATCTCATCGCCAATCGCACACTGACTGGCGCCATGAAGACGATAGGATGGGGGGAAGTCCCCTGCTCCCGGCTCCGTCACCCGGGAGACAATGCACACGGGGAAAGGAAAGCCAGCGAGAGGGGGAGGGGGGGGGGGCTCATCACAGGCACGGCCTGCGTGCCGCGTTAGAGTTACGCCCCCCGGCCGCCACCCCAATCACCGCCAGAGGGCGGCACGTTCTCTGCTGCGGCGCGGCAAATTCGAAATGACGCGCCACAGGCCAAACTACTACGCGCCGACGACAAGGGGCGGTGCGGTGCGGGGACCACAGGGGAAGGGGAGGGATGCGCCCGCGCCGCTTTCTTCCGGATCCCGGCCGGCCCCAGCTTCCTCCTCGCAGAGTCGGTCGCCTCCTCCTCGTCGGTCACTCCTCTCCGCGCGCAAGGCCGCCACCACCACACACTCACACACGCCCCGCGCGGGGAGGTGAACGTCGCCAAACCGCACGTCCAGGGAGACGAGCAGGAAGTATACAGACAGCCGGCCTGGGACGGTCTTCGTCGGGAACCGTCGTGAACCACCAGGAAAACGGGCGCACTCGCTCGGTGCAGAGTTGGAGGGAGCTTGAGGAGATGTCGTCAAAATGTGACGCAACGCCCAATAATTTCAGGACAATTATAAAGGAGAAATGGTCAAAAATGTCCACCTTCCGTCACGCGGTTTGTAAGCGACTACAAAGGGCGCTACGTTGTCTTACAACACATGTTCTGTCTCCCCATCTCAAGACGCGTGACGCGTCCAGTCACGTTTTGTTCGAAGCCATAGCATATCTCACTCACAAATCACGTGACACACGGACACCCCTTCCACTTCCTGACATTGCCCCTCATGTGCGTCATTTCTTTCTAGACACAGTTTTCAGACAAGGTTTGTAAACTGGGGTGAACAAACTTGAGTCAAGTGATGGTACTTCGAAACGGAAGGAGATGTAGGGTGGGTGACTGGTGACAAGGGGTAGGCTGCGGCGTGGCGGCGAGGCAACGTGCGGGTGGCACCCGCAGCGGGGGCGTGGCGGAGCGGGGCGCGCGTCGCTCACTCGGCGGACTTTTGCACAACAACGAGCTCCGGGCGCGACCCGCGCTTCCCACGCCAGGTGAAGGAAGGGTGTGCCGAGCTAACTGGCAGCCGGCACGCAGCGCCTGCCCAGCGCCGCCGCGCCGGTCCGTGGGGCCTTCGGCTTTCCCAAACGTTGCGTCTGGTCAAAAGCTTTCCCCCCAAAACAAGCGCCACTTGCGGCCGACGGAAGACCTCGTAGAGAAGGAGAGGAATGTTGAGTTCATTGACGCAACAAAAAAAAGGGGCGAGGACTTTTTGTTTTCTTCCGTACGGCAAAGTGACTCATTTGACTCACGCTACCGCGGACTGACGCCGAGCCCGGCAGCCTGGCTCCCACGCCTCAGTGGCAATAACCGTATTGTGCGCCATTGAAACTCACTCGCAACAAGCGGACAATGTGTGCAATTAGCTACATGAATACCGAGCGGCGGGGAAGAAGAGTGAGTCGTCGGGCGGAGAACGAGGCGGGGAGGGTCAAACAGACCGAGTGGGGTGTCAGACTACCTGGAATCTGGACCAGTCAGTCACCTAGGCGTACGAAAGCACACAAGCACACACACGGCCGCCCCACTGACCCATCGCGTCTCCAGGCAGACGAGCAGACGACGAGATAATGACGGCCATCCGACACGCACGCGATCCATTCAATTCAGAGTAAAACTATGGCGGACAAATGGAACA